AAAATTGTAAAAATAAAGAAAAACCCTTGAATGAGTAGGTGTGTCCAAAGTATTGACTGTTAGTGTATGTGTGATTTTTTGGGGGATTTAGAATGGACCATTATCATGCACCTGTATCGAAACAGGGGCAGCGGGAAAAAATACATGTCATCTATGCACTTAAATAGCGAATGGAGGACGCTTTTCCCGTGGTTCATTTTCATGCCAGCCAGGTAGTCTATACTCCTGTTGTAAATATAAGCAATGTGCTTAATATTAGGAAAGTTGAGAAATAAATATAGTAGGCCTAGCCTATAGAAAGCTGATGGGATCCTCCTCTTTTTAGTAGAGGCCATCACTCTGTTTTCTTGCGCAATTGCATAGCCTATAGAAATGTTGCGTAACATGAGCTCATGGGCTCTCATGAAGCGTTAGATTAGATTTTCGATAACATTTGCATTGATGTCAGAGTGATTAGAGGGACAATAGAGTGCTGAGTACCAGGCAGTTAGCAAGTATGGTAGGCTACTAATGACCAGCAGCAGCACCAGAGCTTGGAGAAGCCTAATTAGCGTGACTAAACGGTCACGTGGAATTTGACTGCCTTCATGACTTGTGACCGCCAGTGTGTGGCGGTAATACGGTCACCGCAACAGCCCTAGTCAGGAGAGGGCTGGAGGGAGGCTCACCTTGCGGTCCTCTTTAAAGAGATCTGCTGCCGTGGTGAAGTGAGGGACAGCGTTCTTACAGTGGGGACACCCTGTTAGGGAGCAGAGACAGAGACACTCAGGGTTATTACAGAATAGACTGTGACCCTTGGCTCACACCAACTACCATTAACACCACACATGAAGACAATAACACTGGATTAATTGTAATTCAAAACAACACACAAAACCTATAAGAATGGTCATATGCTACCTCACATACTCACACACTCACACACAGAACCAAGCACACCGAAACACACACACACACCCACCACCGCCTGTCCCTTCCAGAATTACCCCATATTAGTGATGGCTCACTTGTATTTTATAGGGACTTATAAATCCCTTTATTGGAGTCATAAATGAAATCTCCCCACCGCTTTCCTCAGGCCATCCATATCTGTCCCAGTCACCGGCTGGCTCCCTGAACCCACCCACCCACCCACCCAAGGTATGCATGTGTGCGCCACCCATCCCCTAGTCACTGTACAGACTGGGACAGGCACATTTACAGCCTCCTGTGTGGTACACCCAGTCTGTCTGACAAGCTTCCCACTAGGTAACAGACTGAAGTCACAGCCATAGTTCACCACAATTACATTAAGGTTAGCAAAATGTGAATCAAGCATCTCAACTCTCCTCACTAAAAAAGGTTTGTTGAATGACACATTTTCCGAAAGATACAAATATATTCAGAATTCGGTCTCTGTAAACAAAGCCTGGATTGTGCGACACGCTCTGCACTTCCTAATTTATGGACCATGATGATGACTGTGATAATATATAAATGGCGCCAAAAAACTCTGTTATCCCCCATTTCCTCACTTATTAATATTATGACGACTAGCGTCAGAGCTGAGAGGATGGGCTTGGCTCCAGGTATGTGGTGTGTTAATGTTGCTCTGCCTCATTGACCACAATGTGCTGGGTATGTCCAAAATGGCACCCTGTTCCCTATATAATGCACTACTTTTGACCTGGGTTCATAGGGCCCTGGTCAAAAGTAGTGCACTATATAGGGAATAGGATGCCATTTGGGACGCATACCATGTTTTACCAGGGCTCAGAATGGCAGGAATACCATTTTATACTAAAGAATGTTGGATATGGCAGATAATGACTGCCCCCTTGATTTTCAGCAGGGGGATGCATATCCACAAGAGAGAGAAGCTGTACCTGCTTAGGGTCAACTACTGTAAGAACTCACTTTTTTAAAGTGCTTACTGATACCACTTCTGCTGCCACTTTGAGTAAGAAGATTACCAAGACAGCTATGATCACCAACTAAGTGAATACTTCTGGATAGTTTCTGCTGCTTTTCTGCTGAAAAATGACAAGAAATCATTACTGTCACATTAAATGAGAACCCTCTCCTTTTCTCCATCTTTTTACCATGTGAATGCCTTCACAGTCATTTTCAGTCCCTTTCACGACCAGTAATAATTGATATTCAACAATAGAACCACAGGGAGCTGCAGCAAGCCTTATGCTTTGATTTTCCCATTTCCATTCCATAGTAGAAGAGTGTGAAATATGTTGAATCTTCTTATGTAATTGGTGTAAGAGCTAAAGTAGTATACAGTGCATTCGGAAAGTATACAGACCCCTTCCCTTTTTCCACATTTTGTTACGTTACAGCCTTATTCTAAAATTGATAACATAAAATGTTTTCCTCATCAATCTACACACAGTACCTCATAATGACAAAGTGAAAACAGGTTTTTAGAAATGTTTGCACATTTATAAAAAATTCTAAACAGAAATACCTTATTTACATAAGTACTCAGACCCATTGCTATGAGACTCGAAATTGAGCTCAGGTGCATCCTGTTTCCATTGATCATCCTTGAGATGTTTCTACAACTTGATTGGAGTCCACCTGTGGTAAATTCAATTAATTGGACATTATTTGGAAAGGCACACACCTGTCTATATAAGGTCCCACAGTTGACAGTGCATGTCAGAGCAAAAACCAAGCCATTAGGTCTAAGGAATTGTCCATAGAGCTCCGAGACAGGATTGTGTCGAAGCACAGATCGGGGAAGGGTACCAAAACATTTCTGCAGCATTGAAGGTCCCCAAGAACACAGTGGCCTCCATCATTCTTAAATGGAAGAAGTTTGGAACCACCAAGACTCTTCCTATAGCTGGCCGCCCAGCCAAACTGAGCAATCGGGGGAGAAGGGCCTTGGTCAGGGAGGTGACCAAGAACCCGATGATCACTTTGACAGAGCTCCAGAGTTCCTCTGTGGAGATGGGAGAACCTTCCAGAAGGACAACCATCTCTGCAGCACTCCACCAATCAGGCCTTTATGGTAGAGTGGCCAGACGGAAACCACTCCTCAGTAAAAGGCACATGACAGCCCGCTTGGAGTTTGCCAAAAGGCAGCTAAAGACTCTCAGACCATGAGAAACAAGATTCTCTGGTCTGATGAAACCAAGATTGAACTCTTTGGCCTGAATGCAAAGGGTCACGTCTGGAGGAAACCTGGCACCATCCCTACGGTGAAGCATGGGGGTGGCAGCATCATGCTGTGGGGATGTTTTTCAGCGGCAGGGACTGGGAGACTAGTCGGGATCGAGGGAAAGATGAAAGGAGCAAAGTACAGAGATATCCTTGATGAAAACCTGCTCCAGAGCGCTCAGGACCTCAGACTGGGGCGAAGGTTGACCTTCCAACAGGACAACAACCCTAAGCACACAGCCAAGACAAAGCAGGAGTGGCTTCGGGACAAGTCTCTGAATGTCCTTGAGTGGCCCAGCCAGAGCCCGGACTTGAACCCGATCAAACATCTCTGGAGAGACCTGAAAATAGCTGTGCAGTGACGCTCCCCACCTAACCTGACAGATCTTGAGAGGATCTGCAGAGAAGAATGAGAGAAACTCCCCAAATACAGGTGTGCCAAGCCTGTAGCGTCATACCCAAGAAGACTCAAGGCTGTAATCACTGCCAAAGGTGCTTCAACAAAGTACTGAGTAAAGGGTCTGAATACTTATGTAAAGTAGTTTTTTTTATTTTTATAAATTAGCTAAAATGTCTAAACCTGTTTTTGCTTTGTCATTATGGGGTATTGTGTGTAGATTGATGAGGGAAAAAAACTATTTAATCAATTTTAGAATAAGGTCGTAACGTAACAAAATTTGGAAAAAGTCAAGGGGTCTGAATACTTTCCGAATGCACTGTATACTATATGCTGTATCTCTCCAATACGTGCAGGGTATAATATACCGGTTTGTCCGATCCCATCTTTCATTCTACACTTCACATATGAAACTGACAATTCCCAACAGGTCCAATTCAAATATACAGTAGCTTCCGGTGTAAACTCACCCTTAAGAGTTAATGTTTTCTTAATTACAAATCATTTCCAGTATTTAGCCTAAAAATGTATGATACAAATGAGCATTTAGTGAAGTGCAACACAAAAATAATTAGCTTTACTCTGACATATGTTAGAGGTGAAAGTTTAGTTCAGAAGATCTGACAAAGAAGAGGCTGCAATTAACAGACAGCCGGACGCCCTCCCTTAGGTAACAATTTACATATTGTCTGAAGGCATTAGATTAGAGAAAGTATTTAAGTGTAACTCAGTAGTTTGATCTCTCAAAGCCCCTAATAGGCAGATGTTACACAGAGGATAAGGAGAAGAGGAACAAAAAGAGAGAGCAGGTTGTTATTGCCGTGTTCTGCTGGATCTCCACTCTTCACAACCTCTTTGTGGATGAAAAACCAAAGGCGTTGTTTTGTTAACTAAGAGGAAGACAGAAGGTGCAGTGATGTGTGGTCTTTGAAGTCTCTTATCAGACAGTGACTGCAGAGCTTCTTTACTGTCAGCCGGCACATTCCATGAACCTGTCCTGAATCAACTGGGAAGGAAGGGTGTGTGAGTATGTGTGTGTGTGCCCGCTGAAAGGATATTGAGATGCTGTATTGGGTGGTGGGCCTGTCAATGCTGTCATACTACTTTCCCCCCACTGGTACGATAAGTCTATACTGAGCATTCTGTGTCATTTTCCACCAGATGATGGCAGATCTTGGCAAGAAAACGGCTAGAATTATTGTATTGGTGGTGTAAAACCCAACCTAAACCTTTTTGCTCCTTGGGGAGCATAGATCATCAACAATTGGTGGTGTTAAAAGTCATAAATAAATAAATCATAAATCAAATGTGGTTATATCGGACACTAACAAGCGGTGCAGTGTTGTCACTGGCAGGGTGCAAATGCAGCAGAGACGATTTGGAATCACGGTCTCGTGATGAGGTAGCCCTGCCTGAGACTAGTAGGTCCAAATGTCACATTCAACTTACATGGTGCGTAGAACATAACGAGGGAATGCTTCTTCTTCTTCAACGCTTCCCTGAAGTCCTCCATTCCAAGATGGCTGACACTTGACGGCTTGTCTTCCCAGGACTGCTCTGGGGGAGGGGGCGCCTGGGGGCTGGAGGGGGACAGAGGGGTCACACTCAAACCAAGGTACATGAACAGTGGATCAGTTTGAAAAGAAAAGACATTCAGCAACTTTTGGTAGCACTAGCTCAATGGAAGTTTATTTGAAAAATCTATGTTTTATTGTTAAAACCTTGAGGGTTCCAACAATACAAAACATGAGCATTATGTTGCTGCAACTAGCAGTATAGTAAAACACCCTCAAAGCACCCTACTGTTGTTCATTTGCACCCTCTAACATCCTCTTGATCTCTCAAGACTTCCTAGTCCACTGGAGATACAGCAGGCATCATATATCTAGACCTGACTACAGTTAAGCTCAGCAGAGAATGTGATGCGTCAGCCTGAACCCTAACACACCCCTTCATGGACTTGATGTAGTAGTATTACACACACCAAAACTGATGACTCCAGAAATAGAGAAAACTGCCTCAGTTTAAGCCCATATCTACATAAACTAATCCTAAACTGGTATGTTGACCTGGTCCTAGCCTGGTCCCAGATCTGTTTGTGCTGAGACGATGACTAGGAGTTGGCAAAATAGCACAAACAGATCTGGGACCAGGCTTATGTTGACCCATATGGAAGGACACGGTACTATAGAAGAACATGGCTCACTTCTGCAGATATTCGATGATCTTGTCCTTGCTCCTAAGGTGGGGTAGCGTGAACTTCTCCTCTCCCTTCTCAAAGTACTTGACGGTGGGGAAGCCGGAGATCTTGAAACGGTCTCCCACCACCTTGTGAATGGTGGTGTCCACGGCTGCCAGAACCCCAGGGCTCTGGAGCATCAAGAGGAAAGGAGTCAGATCAGGATACAACACCATCATCACATAATAGATCAGCTAGTTCTGACTGGATCACAGGACTTAAAGGTCAACTCAACCAACCACCCCCCCCTCCCCTTTGCCCTTAGAACAGCCTCAATTCGTCGGGGCATGGACTCTATAAGTTGTCGAAAGCATTCCACAGGGATGCTGGCCCATGTTGACTCCAATGCCTCCCACAGTTCTGTCAAGCTAGCTGGATGTCCTTTGTGTGGTGGACCATTCTTGATACACACGGGAAACTATTGAGTGTGAAAAACCCAGCAGCGTTGCAGAGAGGAGGAGAGCGGGGGAGAGGAGCAGAGCATATCAAAGCAGGTTGGGGAGGGATGAGATAATTGTTCCAATCACGAGGCGATCTCTGGTGATTTTTATTGGCCCTGGCTCTGGGCTGAGCAATACCACAGTGAAGAGGGCAGACACACCCAGTTAATCAGAAACACATCAGGAGCTCTGGCAGCCAGGCTCTTGTGTCAGACTGACTGCACCAGCCAAGTAGATGGGTTTAACGCTTTGTTCTGGTGTTCACTTCAGGTAATATCTCACAGCTGGGGTTTGGAATAAGTTGGTGTCGCAAGGTGTTGCAAGGCTTCAACAGAAGTATGCACATACATATAAACACACAGACACACACATCACAAGCACTATGTTACATACACCATCATTGTACTTACATTTTTGTCTTTGTTGAGGTATTCAGCGGCTTCCTCATACTCTGGCTTCATCTTCTTACAATGGCCACACCCTGCGGTTCAAAACACAAACAGACATGACTAGCCGAGGGAAGATGACTTAACAAACAAACACACGACTGGCCGAGCAACACTGACTTGATGCTAGTGTTAGAGATTATAAACAGACATGACTAGCAAAGCAACGATGACTTAATACTAGTGTTAGGGATTCTCACCATACTTACCCATAATCACATAAGTAAGTGGCCTTAATAGAACCAGCCAAGTGCCTCTTAATTGAATAATCAAGCCATTCACAACATTATGTTCTCAGTAGGGCCTCATCCAAGTACATTAAAATAAACTGCAGGGAATTCTCCTTGGTTCCCCCCACCTGTTTTCAACTTACCACTGACAGTTTTACTATATAAAAATGTATAACGCCTAATGTTGCCCAACTCATGCTTTCTTTACTTAACAAGTCAGCGACCATGGTGCAACACACAGATCTAATGAGAGCAACGTTCTCACCTCGTATTAATGTGGGTTACTACTATCATTCCCTAGCAGGGACAGTAAATGGTATGACATTTATCAGAGTGAGTTAACTCCCTGAAGTGTAAGCCTGAAGGATTTAGTCATGTCTGTCCACTAACTATAGGCATGACTCCATCCATATGCCGGGGTGTGTGTGTGTGTGTGTGTGTGTAGCTGTAGGAATTGAAATGTTCTGTCCTCATCACCTCTGTAGCCAGTGTGACAGGGGAGAAGACAGAGACCACAGTGACATAGCAGGGCCGGGGACGTGAGAGGATACAAGGACTAATGTTCCCATACAGTGTAAGAATGGGGTGGACTGTGTGTGTGTGTGTTTGCAAGCTTGCTTGTCAACACAGCTGTGACACTGAATTCCAGCGTCATGAATAAATGCAGCGTTTGATAAAAAATGTATGAGCTCGGCAGCTACTCATCTTATTTTTAGAGCTGAAAAAAACGTTCACATTCTGAACTCAGTATTTGTAACCAGCATCCACTAGAGGTTTTGTTTGTTAAGCCTATATTTCCTAAGCTCTCTGAAGAGCAGAATGCATGCTATATTTGTGTTTTCTAATTGCATTGTTGTGCATGGCTGAATGCATCTGCTAGATCTTTAGTTGGCACATTGCCATATTCAAAACGGCCAGGAATACTGTTCTCAATCAGTAACATCTGTGAACTTCACATAAAATAATCACACACTGTTGCATGCAAAATAGTTATTTGTTTTAATTTGAATCTTTTGTAGAATTGTCAGACAGTATTTGTGTGGAGGAAAGCACTGCATCTGACCTTTAAAAAAATAGGAGTTTAAACGGGAGAGACATAGAATAATAGTATTTTATTGCTCTATCTTCTGCATCACCTCACCTCTGCTGGTGCCATCGCCTTAATTTACTGTCTGGTGAAGGAGGGGAGTTTTGGGGGAGGAGGGTTAAGCTACATGAAATGTTGTTGATTCACAGCAGGGGAGTGTGTGTGTGTGTGTATCTGTTGGAGTGTTGGAAAGAGAAAGGCTTTTGGGGTATTAAAATAAGGCTGCTCTGCTCGGCTGAGTATGGTTCAGTGGGCGTCTCCTCTCCCTATCACCGGTCTGAATAGACTAGAGGATGCTGGGTAATTTGGCCAGATTCTGTTTACCTTGGCGTGGACAGGTCTGAGACACACGCACGCACACATATAATGACCAGCGTCGGTCATGCTTGAGAGGATCCACCACGGCCATTCACAGACAAACTAGTTATTTGGTCTCTATGCATCCTGCGTCTGCAGATGCACACAGACAACGGAACCAACCCACAGTTTGCAGGGACGGAGGGAGCAGCTCAGACATAGGATAGGAACAAACGGTCTCCGTAAGAGCTGAACAAAAATAAAAGCTGATGCTCTTGACCACGAGGCCATTAATCTCACTATGACAGGTGGACCATTAAACTGCATCTAGGCAAGTGTGTGTGTTGATGTGTGTGTGTGTTATTTTGTGTGTGTGTGTGCATTCACTTGGTCTTGGCAGTGCTAGGAGGGGCTCCTGTGTGTGTGTGTGTTTGAGAGAGCTGAAATGCCTGCCTGATGTGCTTGTATCAGCTGGTTGCTCTTGGCTTGGGCGTCTCAGTGAGTGGCCACAGCAGTTCCAAGTGAAGAGTGCCAGCCAGGATGCCCATTGTGAGAGGCAGGGCACCATGGGAGAGGGTGGGTTGGTCTAGCTGGCTTTTCTGTGTTATAACAAGGAGCCATATAAATGGGACTTTTACCCCCAGTGAGTCATGGTCCTTTATATACCATGGGTGGGTACCAGGATGACAGGCAAAGTAAAGAGGGCCTAAGGGAGGACCAGCAGGGAGGAAGAGGTCAGCAGACAAGAGGGCAAGATTTGAAAGTGCTGAAAAACCCTAGTTTTTGAGCCAGTTGAGGTAGAGTCAAACAAGACTGTACTACTCGCAATACGTGTGGATTGTTTTCGAAACCTTAAATATTGCATTGCCTAGGCAGATTCAGAGTGTAACAGTGCACGATTCAGTTGCATGACTATTGCATTCCAAAATGCGTTTTGAAATGTGCATTTGCATATATTTGAAGTGATACGGTGCGCTGTGACAATATCACTGCTTTTCAACTCTGTCAAAACATCCCCCTGACGTTTACCTGCTTCTCTCCTCAATGATCAGATGAGTTTTGGATGAAGCTGAGGATGTTTTGCAATGAAAATCTAACCAACTGAAGATTTAAACTTTGGCACTTTTACAAAGTGTTTGTAACAATAGCAGTCTGTTGCATAAGCTCTAGCAATGATATGATGAAGCTTATGCAAACCTTATCATGTCATCATAGCCTGTTACTTTGAGTATGTGTGTGTGTTAGGCTACTCACATGGAGCGTAGAACATGACCAGGGCAGACGGGTGTTCCAACAGGAACCCATCGAAGGAGTCGTCAGTCAGGTGGAAGACAGGGGAGTCAGTCTCCGACCACTGGACCTCTGGGACCTTCGGCTGGGGGGGCTGGGGCCTGGAGAGGGGAGAGAGACAGGTGAGAGGGTGGTGGGAGTGAGAGAGAGGAGAGAGAGAATGAGAGAGACAGAGAGCGAGAGAGAGGGCCATTTAAAGAGCAGAGAAGTGAGCTAAAACATGTATGTTATGACTAGGGGCAGGCCCAGCTGTACTGTAGCTCATACTCCATCTCACGTCATGTCAGACACATCTGGCCTGTAGTGGTCACACCCGTATGACAGAGCCCTCCCTAGCACTGCCAAGACCAAGTGGAGTCACACACACACGCCACTTCTTCCAGTCTTTTACTCCTACTAGCCACTAGTCCAGGAGAAGATGTACGAGTGTTAATAACACAACCGCCTACAGCACGTGTAAATTACCCTAGGCGGTTGGATATCTGTTTTAAAATGTCACAATGTGCAACTGGGATGTGGTTACAGGTCTACAGCTCCTAGACAGTGTGCTCCAGAGTACTGTATGTCATCTCCAATATATTAACATGCACAGCAGGTTGATACTTATTCACAGTACTCATTCATAGCCAGATGCCCAGTTCGTTTCTAGGCAACATCAGGTGCACTTCCTTATTACTTAGCTAGCCTACTAATGACTGCTGCTGGACCACTTTTTGTGTGTGTGTGTGTGTATGGTGTGTGTATGGTGTGTGTGTATGGTGTTAGCGCTCTCTTCCATAATGACAGACAGCCCATAATGCTACCATGGAGGAATCTAAAAGCCAACCTCTGCAGAGTTTATTCTCTGCTCGTTCAGGTTCAGCCCATCTTGCAGAGGTGATGTTGTGAGGCCATCCACAGAGGCATGTAATGTTCACTAAGGATATTGGATCATTAACTATTAGTACTACAGACCTCCTAGCAGGTCATACTGGACCCTAGAGGAAGACTGAGTCAGGATCATTTCTACAGTGTTCACGAACAGATGCTTGATGTGTGTGTGTGTGTGTGTGTGTGTGTGTGTGTGTGCATGTGCATGGGTGTGTGTGTCATGGGTATATACCGTGGGATTGTTTCTGAAGCGGTTAGTGTACTCCAAGGAGAGGAAAGCTTTCATGCCTTGAAGCATCTGCCTGTGAGAGCCACTGGAAACTCAAACAGTCTGTTTCCTCTCTGTCTCTGTTTCCTGCAATAGCTGTGAAATATGCTCCGTGCCCTTTCAATAGACTAGAGCACGGTGGACAGTCAAAAGAGTGTGAGAATGGGAGAGCCAACCCGGGAGTAGAGTGAGTGGGGACATTACGAGGTGAGACCACAGGGTATGTTGATAAACTCTCCGTGCAGGCTTAATATGCCACTTAGCAGATGCTTTTATCCAAAGCGAGTTACAGTACAGCAAGTGTACCGGTATACATTTTCATTTCATTGGCCTTGCTAACACCACGCTCTTACCAACTGAGCCACACAGGAACATAGAGTTTTTCCTAGGTCCGGTCCCTAACCCCCGGTCAGGAAAACCTCCTGACCCTATTTTACGAGGGGAAAGTGATTGAGGCGGAAGGAAGGCAGGAAGGGAATAGGTTGAACTCTCACTTCTTCATCCAGTCAGCGATGTCCTTGGCTGTGCCGCCGTAGTTTTCATAGTGGTGCAGGAACTTCCCCTTTCTAAAGAGAGAGAGAGAGAGTAAGAGTGAAAGAGAGAGAGAGAGAGAGAAAGAGAGAGTGTGAGTGAGTGAGTGAGAAAGAGAGAGTGTGAGTGAGAGAGAAAGAGAGTGTGAGTGAAAGAGAGAGTGTGAGTGAGAGTGAGAGAGAGAGAGAGAGAGAGAGAGAGAGAGAGAGAGAGAGAGAGAGAGAGAGAGAGAGAGAGAGAGAGAGGGAATATAAAACAGCTATAAAACATCTGCTGGCTAGTTCAGTATCTCCCAGAATAATTACTATATTTAGGAAACACACTAATCCATGTCATGTGTGTTGCACAACATTCTGAGTTCAGCTTCTAGGTGTTCTAAGAACTATGGAAAAACTACAATGTAACCTACTGACTACACTGAAAGAGGTGCCTCTATGAAAGTGCATTTTATGTCCAGAGGACATAGTTTCCTCAGAGAGAAATACAGTACATCAGAGAGACCTGGGTCACTGTTGTGGAAAGGAAACAAAGGAAGTGTTTTGTGACAAGAAGGAAAAGCTCAAACAAAAAAGCTCAACATGAATTGTTTTACCTTCTCCTAAAATGTACCACTAGTTAAAAGAGCACATCTTGTAGAAGTGCATGTCTTGTATTGTCCCCTCACCATGCATTATAAATTGGCTAAAAACAGTAGCTAAAATTCTAATTGTGTGGATATCTATGTGGGTCTTCCCACATGGAAACAGATCCTCATGTAATAGCTTCTTTATCTTTTCTGATCTCCTGAGACTGAAATGAATCAGTGGCGGTGGCGGTGGGTAGGAAGCGAGCAGAGCACTAGCTGCTCCAGCTGAACCTAATGCCTGCAGATCATAGTAATTTGTAACTGTCACTGATCTGTAGGGAGCCGTGAACATCGGGCCAATATAATGTAATGTCAAATGGAAAACAGCAGCCGTACAGTATTAGCGCCACACATCACATGTAGTTTAAGAGGCACAGAGGGAGAGGGCCTGGATGCTTACCTTTTCATTTTAGCTCAGCAAAAATGTTGGAAACACTTGACATGCATGTATAATGTATTATGATACAATTATCTAACAAGTTAGAAAGCATTATAGCTGCAGGCTTTAAGTGTTACCAAAATGTTTAACTGTGTCCCCTTGCTCTCCTTAGATACACCCACTCTTCACTGGAAAAAAAAGGCATTTGAAAAGGAGCTTGAACAGCAAGACTGAAAGAAAGATAATTCTAGGAGCAGCAATGATTGGTTCCTGGGCTGATGCGCTCATGTTTATCAGTGAGAGAAAGAGTCTCATTACTGTAACCAATGGTGCTGCATGGTCGTTAGGCACTGTAAGTTCGTTAGCCCCACCTCTCCCCCTGGGCCAAGGCTAAGGACTCTGATTAATTAGCCCATCATTAATTAAAGGGCTGAGAGAGATAATAATAAAAATAATTGGTCATTCAGCAGACGCTCTTATCCAGAGCGACTTACAGGAGCAATTAGGGTTAAGTGCCTTGCTCAAGGGCACATCGACAGATTTTTCACCTAGTCGGCTCGGGGATTAGAACCAGCGACCTTTCGGTTACTGGCACAACGCTCTTAACCACTAAGCTACCTGAGATGACACAATCCTTAATACTGAGATGGAGAGGATAACGCTGCTAAGTGTTGAGGCTGGGCTGGAGAGCTGACTATAGGGCTGGAGGTAGAGGCTGGAGGCTTTTGAGAGAAACACAGTTCACAAGAGACCGTTTGAGTTGACAGAGGTGATCCAGGGTCAGCCTGACAGTGTCTGAGTGCACTTTGAGTCTGTCGTAACAGTTACTTCTAGGACCCCCTGATGTGTGATGTCTGAGACTTGGGGACGGTGAGGCAGCTCAGAGGAGAGAGAAAGCCCACACCCCAACCTCCTTCAGATGGCCAGATGTCTTTGAACCAACAGCCAAGAAACCCACTAGACACCAGGCCTATGTCCTCCCCAGCCAGCCACAGCAAGAGCCCCCCATTGTGAGCCTGCTTCAAACAGAATACTTTAAGACCCAACCAACACCGCAAAGAAACTTTCTTAAGTGATAAACAGATTCAGAACATCTGGTGCCACCCTTGCCTCCTGTGAAAAGGAAGGAAGGGGGGAGTGAGGTCTGCCAGTGCCTACAGACAGACCCACCACCTCCACCTTCTCTCTATCCTCCATTCCACCTACTTGATTCCCTGCTGCTAGAACTTCTGAAGCCCTAATTCAGGGGTAGGCAACTAGATTCAGCCGCGGGCCGATTTTAGTCGAAGCGAATGGTCGGAGGACCAGAACATAATTATTATACTTTATACACTGCAAAATTGACCACAACTATGCCCCTGGGCCGCCTGTTAATGGAAACAGTATGAGTGATTGCGTCGTGGGGTGTGTGTGTGCACGTATGGTAGCCTATAGTGAGACGGATGAGATAGACTCACTCGAAGTAGCAGAAGGTCGGGTAGCCCTTGACATTGTACTCCTGCTTGAGGCTGTCAAACTCAGCTGGGTGCACGTTCATCCCGGCCAGCACCTTAAGACCAGACACACAGGGAGCACACGGACACACACACGGACACACACACGGACACACAAGCGGAGACACAAGCGGAGACACAAGCGGAGACACAAGCGGAGACACAAGCGGAGACACACACACACACACACACACACACACAACAGGTTAGTTCATCATAGAAACACCAACACAAAGTTAAACTAAATGAAGATAAATGACTCAAAGGAGGGGAAACCATGTAAACAGAACGAGACATGAAAACCAGATGTTTGATGAAAAGGGACAATGAAATATGCATAGTAATAATTTCCCTAGGTTAGCTTTCAAAGGGCAATTCAAAAAGCTCAACGCAACTCATCTGCCAAATCAATTTCAATCTGTGAGGTTCCCTGCCTTCATAATGTGAATGTTTCATTACTTGGGTGTGATATGGACTTTCTTATTCTTTTATGAAGACTTGGCTCATAGTCAAGCTTGATGAGGAACTAAAATAAACTTTTTAGGGGAAATAATCTCCTCCTCTCTCTTCCTACATCTGTGACGATTTGGGGAAAAATGTGTTGGATGACTTGGCTGACCGTTGTTTGCGCTCCAAAATCACTTATCTTCTGCTATCAGGTCTTCGCACACCACACCACACACACATCACAGAACACTCCACTTGTTGTGTGTGTACATGAGAGCTAAATGCATCGATTATGCAAATCGCTAAACAAGAGGCTTATTTATTCACTCATCGTCAGCCTGCCTTGCTGAAATCAGACAATGTATGTGTCCCAAATAGCACCCTATACAGTGTACTACTTTTGACCTGGGCATATCAGCACTTTATAGGGAATAGGGTGGCATTTGGGACGCAACCAAAAACACCTTCAATTAGATCCCATTCTTTTCCATGCAGCTCCATGAGGCAAACACACGGAGCAATTACATTGTTTTCTCTAAAAGAAAGAAGCCTCTCCTGTATGTTTAAGCACTGGGTGTACTTTCTCCCTTCAGACTCTCAGCAGTGAATACATTGTTTTCTCTTACAGAATATCTTAAGAGCGATTTACAGTTAGTGAGTGCATACATTTTATTTTTTCATACTGGTCCCCCGTGGGAAACGAACCCACAACCCTGGCGTTGCAAACGCCATGCTCTACCAACTGAGCTACAAGGGACTACATCATGCAGCAAGGTGTGTTTCTAAGCGGTAGCTGGGTGTATTTTCTCCCCTCCGACTGTTTCTGCTGTATCTCTGCTTTGCTTGAGGATGAGTGTTTGTGATAAACACGCTGTCTTTGTTTTTCTAGGTGGTCACATGGGGGTTTCTCTTATGTGATATCGATCTGTGGTAGACTAGTCGACTTCCTTGTTGAGCCGTTTTATTTTAGCCCCGGAACCAAATGTGGGGGCTGCGAGATGCATGCTACGCCACTGCTTATAACTAACTAGAAGTTAAGTACAACTATAAGAAATCTAAGATGTGTCAAATAAATTATTTCCAGCTCAGGGCTCCAGCTATGCATCTGGTTTGCTAACTTGCTAGCTAAGTGGCTAGATGTCAAGATCAAACTTATTGGTTACAGCAGATACATTCAACCCTCTCCTGGATCAATATCCCTGTTGCCTAAATTGTTTTGTGCGTCCCCCCCCCAAAAAATTAATTACACCTTTTTTTTTTTTTTTTAAATAGCGCCCCTTGTGTGCACATTCTGTAATACCGTATATATACCCCGGTATGGTACAGAAACGGTAAGACAGTATGAAAATCTAGATACCGCGCAACCCTACTCTGGGGAAGTAGATAAAGTGCTTCATCGCCAAACTCCTGAAGTATCCCTTTAAGTGATCATGGTTAAAGGAGAGCTTCAGTGCATTCAAAAGACCATTCTACCAAGAAGAGGGGCTATGGTAGACAGGCAAGCAACTGAATACGTTTATTAATTTGACCGGATGAACTGATTTGAGCTGTCTTAGAACTGAGAATGGGAATGTTTTGGACATAACTACTTGACAACTAACCCAAAAACTAAATCAGAGACCGGCAACAATGTGTTAGGATTTTCACCAGGTGACAAAATGTTAGGATTTTAAGCAATGAAAATGTGAGAGGATTTTACTTACAAATTTACCCTTGGTCTCTGTAGCTGCCTGTTGAAATACGGGCTGCATCCTCTTACAGACACCACACCCTGTAGGAAAAATAACAGAAGACATTACAGAAGCACTCCAAGGACTCAGCTAGTCAACATACTGAACAAAAAGGATTTCCATAATTTCATCATTCTATCAAGGGACCAATAAATATGAATAGAACTTTGTAGTAGTGCATGATTTATCATGATGATGGAACCAATACAATAATAATAATAATAATAATAAAAACTACTGCAATATGATCATTCATTCCAAGGACCCAGTGTTTTTCCTTCATACAACTAGAAATGGCCAATTGTTAAGATTTAATCCTCACAGGCGAAATACTATAAAAAACATGCATTGTTATGAAAAAGCTGGAAATACATTTTAAAGTTTAATGTAAAAATAAAACGAATCTTCCAATTTGGCCGGAGGAGCCTGGTTGAACATTTAATGAATGATTCTATTCAATAAATACAGTGAGGGAAAAAAGTATTTGATCCCCTGCTGATTTTGTATGTTTGCCCACTGACAAAGAAATGATCAGTCTATAATTTTAATGGTAGGTTTATTTGAACAGTGAGAGACAGAATAATAAAAAAAAAATCCAGAAAAACGCATGTAAAAAATGTTATAAATTAATTTGCATTTTAATGAGGGAAATAAGTATTTGACCCCTCTGCAAAACATGACTTAGTACTTGGTGGCAAAACCCTTGTTGGCAATCACAGAGGTCAGACGTTTCTTGTAGTTGGCCACCAGGTTTGCATACATCTCAGGAGGGATTTTGTTCCACTCCTCTTTGCAGATCTTCTCCAAGTCATTAAGGTTTTGAGGCTGACGTTTGGCAACTCTACCTTCAGCTCCCTCCACATATTTTCTATGTGATTAAGGTCTGGAGACTGGCTAGGCCACTCCAGGACCTTAATGTCCTTCTTCTTGAGCCACTCCTTTGTTGCCTTGGCCGTGTGTTTTGGGTCATTGTCATGCTGGAATACCCATCCACGACCCATTTTCAAAGCCCTGGCTGAGGGAAGGAGGTTCTCACCCAAGATTTGACGGTACATGGCCCCGTCCATCGTCCCTTTGATGCGGTGAAGTTGTCCTGTCCCCTTAGCAGAAAAACACCCCCAAAGTATAATGTTTCCACCTCCATGTTTGACGGTGGGGATGGTGTTCTTGGGGTCATAGGCAGCATTCCTCCTCTTCCAAACACGGCGAGTTGAGTTGATGCCAAAGAGCTCAATTTTGGTCTCATCTGACCACAACACTTTCACCCAGTTCTCCTCTGAATCATTCAGATGTTCATTGGCAAACTTCAGACGGGCATGTATATGTGCTTTCTTGAGCAGGGGGACCTTGCGGCTGCTGCAGGATTTCAGTCCTTCATGGCGTAGTGTGTTACCAATTGTTTTCTTGGTGACTATGGTCACAGCTGCCTTGAGATCATTGACAAGATCCTCCCGTGTAGTTCTGGGCTGATTCCTTACCGTTCTCATGACCATTGCAACTCCACGAGGTGAGATCTTACATGGAGCCCCAGGCCGATGAAAATTGACAGTTCTTTTGTGTTTCTTCCATTTGCGAATAATCGCACCAACTGTTGTCACCTTCTCACCAAGCTGCTTGGCGATGGTCTTGTAGCCCATTCCAGCCTTGTGTAGGTCTACAATCTTGTCCCTGACATCCTTGGAGAGCTCTTTGGTCTTGGCCATGGTGGAGAGTTTGGAATCTGATTGATTGATTGCTTCTGTGGACAAGTGTCTTTTATACAGGTAACAAGCTGAGATTAGGAGCACTCCCTTTAAGAGTGTGCTCCTAATCTCAGCTCGTTACCTGTATAAAAGACACCTGGGAGCCAGAAATCTTTCTGATTGAGAGGGGGTCAAATACTTATTTCCCTCATTAAAATGCAAATCAATTTATAACATTATTGACATGCGTTTTTCTGGATTTTTTTGTTGTTATTCTGTCTCTCACTGTTCAAATAAACCTACCATTAAAATTATAGACTGATCATTTCTTTGTCAGTGGGCAAACTTACAAAATCAGCAGGGGATCAAATACTTTTTTCCCTCACTGTACCTGATTATCAAAATCAATGACAAGATACAATGGTAGAGTCTAGCACTGAGGGAAAAGGACCAGTCCTAGAGAGCCTTAAGGGACCTCCCTCTACCACCACATCACTTCCCCAAACTCTCTCTGCTTACTGTAACACGACGTCCCAAATGGCACCCTAATTCCACTTTTGACAAAAGTAGTGCACTATGAAGGGCATAGGGTGCCATTTGGGATGACCTAAGTTTAATTTCCCATCTTGACGGAGTTCTCTGATGACGTACACTACCGGTCAAAAGTTTTAGATCACCTACTCATTCAAGGGTTTTTCTTAATTTTTTACATTGTAGAAAGTCAGCAACATTTGGACTCCAGACCAAAGGACACATTTCCACCAGTCTAATGTCCATTGCTCGTGTTTCTTGGCCCAAGCAAGTCTCTTCTTATCATTGGTGTCCTTTAGTAGTGGTTTCTTTGCAGCAATTTGACCATGAAGGCCTGATTCACACAGTCTCCTCTGAATAGTTGATGTTGAGATGTGTCTGTTACTTGAACTCTGTGAAGCATTCATTTGGGCTGCAATTTCTGAGGCTGGTAACTCTAATGAACTTATCCTCTGCAGCAGAGGCAACTCTTGGTCTTCCATTCATGTGGTGGTCCTCATGAGAGCCAGTTTCATCATAGCGCTTTATGGTTTTTGCAACTGCACTTGAAGAAACGTTCAAAGTTCTTGAAATGTTCCGTATTGACTGACCTTCATCTCTTAAAGTAATGATGGACTATCATTTCTCTTTACTTATTTGAGCTGTTCTTGCCATAATTTGGACTTGGTCTTTTACCAAATAGAGCTATATTCTGTATACCCCTCTACCTTGTCACAACAAAACACAACTGTTTGGCTCAAACGCATTAAGAAGGAAAGAAATCCAACAAATTAACTTTTAAGAAGGCACACCTGTTAATTTAAATGCATTCCAGGTGACTACCTCATGAAGCTGGTTGAGAGAATGCCAAGAGTGTGCAACGCTATCATCAAGGCAAAGGGTGGCTATTTGAAGAATCTCAAATATCAAATATATTTTGATATGTTTAACACTTTTTTGGTTACTACATGATTCCAAATGTGTTATTTCATAGTTTTGATGTCTTCACTATTATTCTACAATGTAGAAAATAGTACAAATAAAGAAAAACCCTTGAATGAGTAGGTGTTCTAAAACTTTTGACCGGTAGTGTATATTCTATGCAAGTCATTAAAGATTATCTACAAATAGGAACTATTTGCTCTTATCCCGACGATAAGTGATATCAGGTGTGTGTGTGTGTGTGTGTGTGTGTGTGTGTGTGTGTGTGTGTGTGTGATGAATCACATGGGGCGTAGAGCATCATGAGGATTGGCCTCTCCTCCCTCTTCAGAAGCTTTCTAAAGTCCTGAGTGAGAAAAGAGAAGAGTAGTGAGAAATATGATCTATAGTAGAACTAGTGAACTCAGCAGAGGTCATCTTGCAGAATGTGAACTGTCCTTTTCCGTCAGTATATGTGGCTTCCTATGGGTCACTAAAATCAAAGCGACCTGTGTCATCTTTAAAACCAAGAATTCACTGTCTTCCGACAGGTGGAGTCACTCCTACATGACGCTAGTCCCTCATTGCAGACGAAAGTCTGACATAAGACAACACCAAGAGTTATCACAAGAACACCGATACTGACAAACTTGCTCATCAATACACCATCAGAAGTAGACAGTGTTTGACTAGATGCCTTTTGATGGAGAGAAGGAGATCAATCTGCACAGAGGGTGGGCTCTTCTCTTCTCCTACCTCTTTATTCATCCTTCCTCATCACCTCCTGCACTTCCTGAAACTCTCATTCGGTAGAAGCTGCTGACATCCCTCAACACCCCCAGGCATGGTACGCCACCAAGTAGATGAGTAGAAAATAGGATCAAAATAACTTTCCTTTGTGTGTGGGTGTGTATGTGTGTGTCCCTTTTGTGCGGAGCTGGGTTCTGATGGAGCGTCAGCCTCACTGTTGGAGAGCCGTCTGTGAGAGTGCCGACTGCAGTCAGACTAACTCTCCATTAAAAGATTCTGTTTGAACTTAACTTAAGTGAACTGCAGAGTTTTTCAGCTTTCTGGTCTGGTCTGCTTTCATGTGTTGTTTTTTCTATATTGATCTGTGCTGTCAGCTTGGGATGCATCAAGGTGGCAGGTTAGAGGGTAGAGTGGACAGAATCTCTCGGCTCACACATTTGAAGGGATGTTAAGGTATTGGTCTGTGGGTTGATGGTAATTAAGACCTGGTTTCAAATACTATTTAGGGATTTTCAAGTTGTTTCAAAGGCATTTAGAGGTACGTATTTATATATTTTGTATTTGAAAATACAAGTATAGAATATTGGAATGTATTTGGAAATACACTTGGAAAGTTGGCATGTACAGTGCCTTGCAAAAGTATTCATCCCCCTTGGATTTTTCCTATTTTGTTGCATTACAACCTGTAATTTAAATAGATTTTTATTTGGATTTCATGTAATGGACGTACACAAAATAGTCCAAATTGGTGAAGTGAAATGAAAAAAATAACTTGTTTCAAAAAATTCAAAAAAAATAAATAACGGAAAAGTGGTACGTGCATATGTATTCACCCCCTTTGCTATGAACCCCCTAAATAAGATCTGGTGCAACCAATTACCTTCAGAAGTCACATAATTAGTTAAATAAAGTCCACCTGTGTGCAATCTAAGTGTCACATGATCTGTCACATGATCTCAGTATATATACACATGTTCTGAAAGGCCCCAGAGTCTGCAACACCACTAAGCAAGGGGCACCATGAAGACCAAGGAGCTCTCCAAACAGGTCAGGGACAAAGTTGTACAGATCAGGGTTGGGTTATAAAAAAATATCCTAAACATTGAACATCCCACGGAGCACCATTAAATCCATTATTAAAAAATTGAAAGAATATGGCACCACAACGAACCTGCCAAGAGAGAGCCGCACACCAAAACTCATGGACCAGGCACCGAGGGCATTAATCAGAGAGGCAACAAAGAGACCAAAGATAACCCTGAAGGAGCTGCAAATCTCTACAGCGGAGATTGGAGTATCTGTCCATAGGGCCACTTTAAGCCATACACTCCACAGAGCTGGGCTTTACGGAAGAGTGGCCAGAAAAAAAGTCATTGCTTAAAGAAAAAAATAAGCAAACACGTTTGGTGTTCGCCAAAAGCCATGTGGGAGACTCCCCAAACATATGGAAGAAGGTACTCTGGTCAGATGAGACTAAAATTGAGCTTTTTGGCCATCAAGGAAAACGCTATGTCTGGCGCAAACCCAACACCTCTCATCACCCAGAGAACACCATCTCCACAGTGAAGCATGGTGGTGGCAGCATCATGCTGTGGGGATGTTTTTCAACGGCAGGGACTGGGAAACTGGTCAGAATTGAAGGAATGATGGATGGTGCTAAATACAGGGATATTCTTGAGGGAAACCTGTTTCAGTCTTCCAGAGATTTGAGACTGGGACAGACGTTCACCTTCCAGCAGGACAATGACCCTAAGCGTACTGCTAAAGCAACACTTGATTGGTTTAAGGGGAAACATTTAAATGTCTTGGAATGGCCTAGTCAAAGCCAAGACCTCAATCGAATTGAAAATATGTGGTATGACTTAAAAATTGCTGTACACCAGTGGAACCCATCCAACTTGAAGGAGCTGGAGCAGTTTTGCCTTGAAGAATGGGCAAAAATCCCAGTGGCTAGATGTGCCAAGCTTAGAGACATACCCCAAGAGACTTGCAGCTGTAGTTGCTGTAAAAGGTGGCTGAATAGTTATGCACGCTCAAGTTCTGTTTTTTTGTCTTATTTCTTGAATCTTCAAAGTGGAAGGCATGTTGTGTAAATCAAATGATGCAAACCCCCCCAAAAATCAATTTTAATTCCATGTTGTAAGGCAACAAAATAGGAAAAATGACAAGAAGGGTGAATACTTTCGCAAGCCACTGTATTTGAACATATAAATATTTAAATACTACATGCATTTTAAACCAGGTCTGTTTGTCCTAGGGGTATTTAAAATAATGTATTTGGAAACAGGTATTTTAAAATAGTTTCAAATAGTAGGCTATTTATCAGATTAATTTTTTATATACACTACCGGTCAAAAGTTTTAGAACGCCTACTCATTCAAGGGTTTTTCTTTATTTTATTTACTATTCTCTACATTGTAGAATAATAGGGAAGACATAAGAACTATGAAATAACACATATGGAATCATGTAGTAACCAAAAAAGTGTTAAACAAATCAAAATATATTTTATATTTGAGATTCTTCAAATAGCCACCCTTTGCCTTGACAGCTTTGCACACTTTTGGCATTCTCTCAATCAGCTTCATGAGGTAGTCACCTGGAATGCATTTCAATTAACAGGCGTGCCTTCTTAAAAGTTAATTTGTGGAATTTCTTTCCTTCTTAATGCGTTGGAGCAAATCAGTATACAGAACATAGCCCTATTTGGTAAAAGACCAAGTCCATATTATGGCAAGAACAGCTCAAATAAGCAAAGAGAGATGACAGTTCATCATTACTTTAAGACATGAAGGTCAGTAAATCTGGAAGATTTCAAGAACTTTGAACGTTTCCTCAAGTGCAGTCGCAAAAACCATCAAGCGCTATGATGAAACTGGCTCTCATGAGGACCGCCACAGGAATGGAAGACCCAGAGTTACCTCTGCTGCAGAGGATAAGTTCATTAGAGTTACCAGCCTCAGAAATTGCAGCCCAAATAAATGCTTCAGAGTTCAAGTAACAGACACATCTCAACATCAACTGTTCAGAGGAGACTGTGAATCAGGCCTTCATGGTCGAATTGCTGCAAAGAAACCACTAAAGTACACCAATGATAAGAAGAGACTTGCTTGGGCCAAGACACACGAGCAATGGACATTAGACCGGTGGAAATTTGTCCTTTGGTCTGGAGTCCAAATTGGAGGTTTTTGGTTCCAACCGCCGTGACTTTGTGAGAAGCGGTGTGGGTGAACGGATGATCTCCGCATGTGCATTTCCCACCGTAAAGCATGGAGGAGGAGGTGTTATGGTGTGGGGGTGCTTTGCTGGTGAAACTGTCTGTGATTTATTTAGAATTCAAGGCACACTTAATCAGCATGGCTACCACAGCATTCTGCAGCGATACGCCATCCCATCTGGTTTGCCCTTAGTGGGACTATCATTTGTTTTTCAACAAGACAATGACCCAAAACACACTTCCAGGCTGTGTAAGGGCTATTCTACCAAGAAGGAGATTGATGGAGTGCTGCATCAGATGACCTGGCCTCCACAATCCCCCGACCTCAACCAAATTGAGATGGTTTGGGATGAGTCGGACCGCAGAGTGGAGGAAAAGCAGCCAACAAGTGCTCATATGTGGGAACTCCTTCAAGACTGTCGGAAAAGCATTCCAGGTGAAGCTGGTTGAGACAATGCCAAGAGTGTGCAAAGCTGTCATCAAGGCAAAGGGTGGCTATTAAAATATATTTTGATTTGTTTAACACTTTTTTGGTTACGACATGATTCCATAGGTGAACGGATGATCTCCGCATGTGTGGTTCCCACCGTGAAGCATGGAGGAGGTGGTGTGATGGTGTGGGGGTGCTTTGCTGGTGACTCTGTCATAGTTGATGTCTTCACTATTATTCTACAATGTAGAATAATAGTACAAATAAAGAAAAACCTTTGAATGAGTAGGTGTGTCCAAACTTTTGACTGGTACTGTACAAATACGCATATTTTAACCCAGGTCTGCCATCTCAACCTATTTCCGTTATGAACTGAACGACGTGTCCATATTGTGCCAGTAAATACACATGACCATGCAGATGCACCTTGTTGTAAGACAATGTGTTATTTCTGTACTTACTTTCTCAGTTTCTACATGAACAACATCTTTAGCTTCTGGGTTCTCCTCCCAAAGAGGGGCTCCTGTGGGGTCTCTTAAAAAAGCCACCATGGACTGGAGAGAAGGAGAGAGTGAGAGAGAGAGACAAGAGGGACAGTCTAAACAATCATTAGCATACTGTAACAGCATAAAGTGATGTTAACCCTAGAGTCTAGACATTATAGTGCTAAACACAAACATTCCATCATTTATCCCAGTCTTCATATTAAACAGAACAGGAGGAGTTCTAGTCTAACAGATGGCAGATGGTATTAACTTCCATCTCAGTGTTCATCAATCCATCCATCCAGTGCAAAGTAACCATGTAAGCAATTTCCCCACGTCCACGGTTCATAATGAGTTTGATAAGCCTTCCAGACCAACGTGAAGAGCCATATGCCTCCAGAGACAACAGAAGGTAGGACAGGAAACATTATTCACCCCTAACTAATACACTGCTCCTCTTCTGTCTCCTGTTCTGTTCAGACATACACTTATACTGACAATGACACAGCAGTTAAAGTTGTTAAATAACACAATGTATTCCTTGATTTTGAATAATGACTTCGGAAAGTATTCAGACCCCTTGACTTTTTCCACATTTTGTTATGTTAATGGATTAAAAAATAAATAATCCTCAGCAATCTACACACAATACCCCATAATGACAAAGCGAGAACAGGTTTTTACAGATTTTTGCTAATTTATAAAAAATCAAAAACAGAAATACCTTATTTACATAAGTATTCAGACCCTTTGCTATGAGACTCGAAATTGAGCTCAGGTGCATCCTGTTTCCATTGATCATCCTTGAGATGTTTCTACAACTTGATTGGAGTCCACCTGTGGTCAATTCAATTAATTTGACATTATTGAGTCCACCTGTGGTAAATTCAATTAATTTGACATTATTTGGAAAGGCACACACCTGTCTATATAAGGTCCCACAGCTGACAGTGCATGTCAGAGCAAAAACCAAGCCATTAGGTCGAAGGAATTGTCCATAGAGCTCTGAGACAGGATTGTGTTGAGGCACAGATCTGGGGAAGGGTACCAACACATTTTTGCAGCATTGAAGGTCCCCAAGAACACAGTGGCCTCCATCAGTCCTAAATGGGAGAAGTTTGGAACCACCACGACTCTTCCTATAGCTGGCCGCCCGGCCAAACTGACCAATCGGGGGAGAAGGGCTTTGGTCAGGGAGGTGACCAAGAACCCAATGGTCACTCTGACAGAGCTCTAGAGTTCCTCTGTGGAGATGGGAGAACCTTCCAGAAGGACAACCATCTCTGCAGCACTCCACCAATCAGGCTTTTATGGTAGAGTGGCCAGACGGAAACCACTCCTCAGTAAAAGGCACATGACAGCCTGCTTGGAGTTTGCCAAAAGGCAGCTAAAGACTCTCAGACCATGAGAAACAAGATTCTCTGGTCTGATGAAACCAAGATTGAACTCTTTGGCCTGAATGCCAAGCGTCACGTCTGGAGGAAACCTGGCACCATCCCTAGGGTGAAGCATGGTGGCTTCAGCATCATGCTGTGGGGATGATTTTCAGCGGCAGGGACTGGGAGACTAGTTAGGATCGAGGCAAAGATGAAAGGAGCAAAGTACAGAGGGATCCTTGATGAAAACCTGCTCCAGAGCTCTCAGGAGCTCAGACTGGGGCACACAGCCAAGAAAACGCAGGAGTGGCTTCGGGACAAGTCTCTGAATGTCCTTGAGAGGCCCAGCCAGAGCCCGGACTTGAACCTGATCGAACATCTCTGGAGATCGGGTTCAACAAAGTACTGAGTAAAGGGTCTGAATACTTATGTAAATGTGACATGTTTTTTATTTTTAGTACATTTGCCAAAAATCCTAAAAATCAGTTTTTGCTTTGTCATTATGGGGTATTGTGTGTACCGGTAGTTTGATGAGGAGAAAAACAATTTAATCCATTTTAGAAAAAGGCTGTAACGTAACAAAATGTGGAAAGAGTCAAGGGGTCTGAATACTTTCCGAATGCACTGTAAATACCTTGGTGAGATTATTACCCCTATCTTAACATATCATGACCAACTAGGTTACTATTAACATGTTCAGATTATAGATGTCTATCAAAGGCCAGACCTAATTGTGCAGACAGTACCTTTAATACAAGACGAGCAACCAGACTGATAAACAACCGTTTCCATTGAACATGCCATACAAATAAAGGCATTTTAATTAATTATATGAAGAGTGTCTTGGTCCTCCTTTCTTTTTGAAAACGACCGTCAATGTTGAGTTTAAAAGGAGGACTCTTTACATTATAATGACAAGACAGCTTTCTTAATGTCCATCAGTATGGATGTGCTCACAGGCTCATCCCCTGCCAATAGGCTGGGCCAGCCAGGCAAGAGAGACATCAAGGTCAACCCCAGAGCAAAGCACTCCATTAGTCCAGACACTGTTATGCCAGCGCCCTGATTATAAAGCACTCATAAACCCATTGGATTATCAAGTCTTGACTAAGCAGAACTCAGTCCAATCGGCATCATCATGTGGGAAGAGAACCATGGTAATATACAGAAACAGAGCCAGTAAGAGACAATGAACTCCCATTCATTTAACCAGGAAACAAAGATGTCACTTGAATAATTGCAATGTTTCATATGAATTAGTGTACTGTTGACTCATTAAGGACGGAAAGGAAGACGTCACTGAAATAAATACATTCATATCTATTACTGTTGATTGAGACAATGAGTGAGTGAGTAATTACCTTGTATGTAGCGGGCCTGTTGTATTCTGTATGGAACGTCCCATCTCTGCAATAGACACAAGCACATTGTCCAATCAGTGAAGAGAAGAAGTAGGTGACCTTTTTGTTTAGCATGGCATGACTCCCTAGAGAACATTCCTACATGCCATTCTCTTCTGACAGGTGGCATCACTTCTATGCGACACAAGTCCCTGGACATACAGTAAAACAATGAAGTACATGTTACAGTTGAGATACTCACTTATAATGCAGGAGATCTGATCCACCACTTTTTGAGCTGGGATCTACCTTCACTTTCTTACACAGTTTACGACCCTCCGAATCCCTGAGAGAGAGAGAGAGAGAGAGAGCGAGAGAGAGAGGGAAGAGAGAGAGAGAGAGAGAGGGAAGAGAGAGAGAAGAGAGAGAGAGAGAGAGAGAAAATTCCAAACATTACATTCCAAAAATTCCAAATAGAGCAGCAGCTGCTGTAAAAATTAGCTCCTACAAATATAGAAATTGACATGGTTTTTAGAGTGAAGTACATCGGAAAAAACCAAAAGAAAACTGCAAGACTGAATAAGAGACAAAACAAGCAACAAACAAAGAAGAAAGGCTTTTGAAAAAGTAACTATTTTTCATACAATTGTACAGTTATCTTAGCTAGCTGAATTGTTTACCAGTTGCTAAGCAGTTGCTAGGGACTCTCCTGGAAGAAGTTAGCTAGCTAACAAATAATATCTAGTTAACAGAAGAAAAGAAAGACAAAATAAGGACAGAAGACAAAGGACATCAAAGTAAAACAGTCCTCTAAAAGACACAAGAGAGAATAATACAAGAAACAACGCTTCTATTGCAACATTGTGTACACAGCTCTACTAGACCCAGCCCATCACAACACAGTTCTACTAGACCCGGCCCATCACAACACAGCTCTAATAGACCAGGCCCATCACAACACAGCTCTACTAGACCAGGTCCATCACAACACAGCTCTACTAGACCAGGTCCATCACAACACAGCTCTACTAGACCAGGTCCATCACAACACAGCTCTACTAGACCAGGCCCATCACAACACAGCTCTACTAGACCAGGCCCATCACAACACAGCTCTACTAGACCCGGCCCATCACAACACAGTTCTACTGGACCTGGCCCATCACAACACAGCACTAACCACTACTTCAGGGTCGGGCAGAACACTGTCATTCAGAGAAGTACACCACATGATGCAGTCCACACCATGTATCATTCAGATCATCAGCCTACATATGCTGAGGTAACCTCTGGCAAAAGACACCTAGAACAATCAGAGATAGATAGGAGAGGTGCGCCAACTACTGCATCTAATATGCAGACTACTGGGCTAGACCCTTTAATTCACACGCACGCGCACAGGGTTGCAGATTGCATTGCACTTATTTTTTGGGCCATTCTTATTAATTTGTTTACAACTATCCTTTATTTTATTGGCACTGGTATTTTAATAATAGTGATTTGTAATGGTGTGTGTGTGTGTATATATATAATAATAATATTTTTTTTTATGTACTTTACTCAAACCAGTGAATATCACTTATTATAAATAAGATCATTAACTATCAGCTCTTGAAATATCCAGGGCCTGTACTCTTCACATTTTGGTTATAAAACAACAAATCCAGAATTGATTAAAAACATCAAGTGACAGGACATCATAATCCTACTGGAAACATGGTGTCGTGGAGACATAGATACTCAGTGTCCCTCAGGCTATAGAGAAAATGTACTACCATCAATCAAACATAAACATTTTAAACGGTGCCGAGACTCAGGAGGAATCATAATTTGGCATAAGCAGGACTTAGCAAAAAGGTACTAATCACATTTGGTTAAAACTTAACAAAGGTACAATCTATTGTGACAATGATGTATACAGTGGGGGAAAAAAAGTATTTAGTCAGCCACCAATTGTGCAAGTTCTCCCACTTAAAAAGATGAGAGAGGCCTGCAATTTTCATCATAGGTACACGTCAACTATGACAGACAAAATGAGGAAAGAAATTCCAGAAAATCACATTGTAGGATTTTTAATGAATTTATTTGCAAATTATGGTGGAAAATATGTATTTGGTCACCTACAAACAAGCAAGATTTCTGGCTCTCACAGACCTGTAACTTCTTATTTAAGAGGCTCCTCTGTCCTCCACTCGTTACCTGTATTAATGGCACCTGTTTGAACTTGTTATCAGTATAAAAGACACCTGTCCACAACCTCAAACAGTCACACTCCAAACTCCACTATGGCCAAGACCAAAGAGCTGTCAAAGGACACCAGAAACAAAATTGTAGACCTGCACCAGGCTGGGAA